GTGGAGGGCGTTTGAAAAATGGGGAAATTGGATGTGTGGTTTCAAATATCTCTGCTGCCACAGGGGGCGCTTGAGGTCTTTAATTGAATTTGATATTTTGTTAACTTTGGTGATATTAATGAAACTGAAGTGTTTGTAATGTTTTATGAAATTGGAAATGTTGGTTTTAATGTCCCTGAAGTAACAAGGGGCGCAAGTGATCTTTAATTGAATTTGTTTTTTTTTTGGTTTCCTGAAATTGTAATTATTGGTTTGTGACAGGGTGCACTAGAAGTCTCTATTAAAATTCTTTTTCGTATCTTGATGATACTTATGCAACTGAAAGACGCTTGTAATGTATGATAAAATTGAAAATGCTGGTTTTAATGTCACTGAAGCAACAGGGGCGCTAATGGGTCTTTAATGGAATTTGATATTTTTACTTTGATGATATGCATGCTTCTGCAGGGCGTTAAGATTGTTTCCAGAATTCAGCATTGTTGGTTCGTAACAGGGGGTGCTAGGAATCTTTGTTTGAGTTTTATTTCATACTTTGATGATACTTATGCAACTGAAAAGCGTTTATAATGTTTGATGAAATTGTACTTGTTCGATTCAATGTCACTGAAGCAATTGAATTTGAATGTAATTTGATTGTTTCTTGTTTACTTTGATGATATGCATGTTTCTGGAGGGCGTTTGAAAAATGAGAAAATTGGATATGTGGTTTTAAATATCCCTCATGCAACAGGGGGCACTACACAACAAAAATGTAATTTTAATATCACATCAAAGTGGATACACTTCAGTCGTGTCGAAAATATGGTGTAATATTACATGCCAAAAAGGACACAATCATCATCATTTTTACAATTTATGTTTTGCTGTGAAGGGGTCTTTTATTGAATTTGATATTTTTTTTAAAACTTTGGTTATACTAATGCAAATAGAAAGCGTTTGTAATGTTTGATGAAGTTGTAACTGCTGGTTTTAATGTAACTGAAGCAACAGGTGCGCAAGTGGTCTTTAGTTGAATTTGATTTTATTTCTTAGTTTTTGTTTCCTGAAACTTGAATTATTGGTTTGTAACAGGAGGTGCTAGGAGTCTTTATTTGAATTTTATTTCATACTTGGATGATACTGATTCAATTGGAAAACTTTTGTAATGGATGACGAAATTGTAATTCTTGAATTTAATGTGACTGAAGCAACAGAGGGCGCAAGTGGTATTTAATTTAATTTGATTTTTTTTTTACTTTGAAGACATGCATGCTTCTGGAGGGCGTTTTAAAAAGGATGATATTGGATGTGTGGTTTTAAATATCTCTGATGCAACAGGGGTCCTTTATTGAATTTGATTTTTTTTTTCGGGGCCTTGTGGTCTTAAAGTTACCTTTATGCTGCTGCTTGTTTGTCACATTCGAGGCACACACACTATTTATGTCAAATTATCAGTTGTACCTGCAGCAGTCATCCACAACTGAAATTTTGTATACCTTCTAATCTATCTGATTTCATCCTATTTCTAAAGCACGGAACATATTTTTCACTTTAAGGACCATAATTATATTTTTTACAGAAGTAAATAAATGAGGTAGTATTGATTTTATATAATGAGAATCCAGCCCAGAAGATGTGAAAAATAAAATAAAAATAATATTGTGCCATCAGCGTGAAGGAATTCAAGAAAAATTAAAATACATCAAAAGCATTGATTTTTCACCAGAAAAGCTCAAAACTACCTCTCATCCACCTGGTCATATCTCAAAAACTGTGCGTCCAAATCATTTGCCCGTGGAAACACATCAAATAGGTGAGTTTTCCAAAGTTTTCTGAAAATTTGAGCCCAAAATATTAAAAAATAAAAAATCCCGCCTATGATGAAAATAGGCCATTTTTTGACAATTTCGATACCTGCCGGTAATCAGCCTGTTTACTGTAGTTACTATAACAAAAACGAAAGGTGGGAACACCTTTATGAATTTAAATTAAAAAAAACTTTCAAATTGACGTTCTAAGATCACGAATAGCTTATTTGGTTTTGGATTAATCTCTTCTGAAAGTTGAAATTTTAAAAATCTCGAAAACACAGGAGTGTAGCCCAGGCGTTTGTTCAGAATGCCAAAATAAGCGTTTTGGCTAAGTTTGGCTCAAATCAGTGACATAGACCACAGGTGGTGTACCCACTTGAGCTGGAATGACCCATATTAAAACAGTTAGAACAAGCAATTGCTTCTAAGATTTATGACTATTTCGTGGAGAGCGTTTTACTGATCAATCAGTCTATTGAACTGGTCGATGTACCGGACGAAATAAAACAGTCGAGTCGATTAATATGAACTGTAGATTTGATGGTTTTCATTTTCACCCAATTATATTAGATGAACTTTAAAATATTTGCTTTTCTTTAGGAAAAACGACTGGAGTAAATAATGATAATGCTAGAGTTATTCAAGATTAATCAATCATTGCAATCTGGGCACGTGCCGACAACTTGGAAAGAATCTTTAGTTCATATACAAAAACTGACTGGGACGAAGAAAGCCGAAAAGTTTAGTCTCATCAACATGTTGCACACAATAGAGAAAATTTTGGAACTTGTTGTAAAAGGCCAGCTGTTACAATATTTAAATAGCAACTGTTTGTTGATACCGGAACAATTGGGATACCAGGAAGGTCATTCTTGTGAAACCGCGTTAAACTTAGTGTTAGCTAAATAGCTAGCTTTTGGTGCATTGAAAGTTTCAAAGCTGCATCTTAAATCTCTTGTACTTGGACGTGGGGTTCAAAACATAATTCAGTGGATGAATTATTTTACAGAGATCTTCGTCTCAGTGTTAAATTATTTACTTTATGAAATAAATTTTTAATAACATATGTGTCTAACAAACATCAGTTTTTAGAAGTTTTCGTTAAACCTCGAAATGTTTCAAAGAAAATCGTGAAAATCTGGAAAGCAAGGAAAATGTAAGTAAGTGAACATTAACCCTTCAAAATTATTGGCGCCCTTAAAGCTATGAAGCGCCCCTTTTTGGAAGGTGGGCCTCCTCAAATGAAGAGGGCTGCGCACGTCAGTGGTTAAGACCAAATCAATAGACGAGGGATTTCTTGCTGATGAAAAGCATGTTGGGCTGTTTGGATATTGAATAGTGTAATAACCTGCAGAACAATCATCAAACAGAATGTTACCATTGGAAATGCTTTAAGCATTATTTTGTGGGCCAATGAAAGTACATAGAAAGACGTGGTTTTGAAATTCAAAAAGCTTAGAACTTCTTCTTTATTTCTAATTTTTTACAAGGCGAAAAAAAAAACAAAATGACGCCCGTGGTCACGTTTTGAATAAGGTAGTGTACGCCTGAAATTGTCAAACTGCATACAGCCTGGTACCTCAGGATCGATCTGAAACACAACACGGCTTTAAAGTGAACTAAATTTATTTGAGTAGTGACCTAAGAACGGGTAAAAAACTTAGGTGACGAAATGGTGGGATCTCAAACTTTTTGGTCGAATTTTCACCCCTTTTTTCCTTTTTAAGGGTTCAGAAAAATAGTGAATACAAAGAATTTTTAGATTTTATAGCTCATTACTTCAATGCAAAAGGTTTTCTTTCGAATGGTCAAAGGTAGAAGTCGTTAAATTGAACCGTTGTCAAATAAGATTGTACGAAGTTTTGAAAAACATTTTTCGAACATCGCTTATACAAAGACATTTATATCTTTAAAAAAATGCAATAAAATAAAAAATCGATTTTGTGAAAATTTTCTCCTTACAACATGTGTTTTCAAAATTGGTGGGTTGCAGTCAACGACTGTTTGAGAACCACTGGCATTGACTTCACAGACTTGAACTTAATGAAAATCGCTTCCCCCTCCGATATGCGGTATGTGTCTTCCATCTCAGCATCATTCACATCCCATGTCTTTACGAAATTTGCTATTTCTGTTCAGGTGGGCCTGAAGTTCTCTGCAAAAAATATAAACCATTATGCATGTGTTGCCGGAATAAAACCCTTCGCACTTATTTTCGAAAGCAGTGTATTTCAGGCAGCTTCAAAGCTATAAAATATGAATAATTAGGATCATAGTTTGTAGATTTAGGATAATTGGTTCGTAGACTAATAGTTTCAGGTTAGTTTGTTAGATAGTTAGTTAGATGATGCAGTTTTAGGTTAGTGGTTATGTTTAGATTTTATCCGCGGCAAAGTGATCTACAAATGCTAGAATATAGAGTATTATGAATTCACTACATTTAGGTAAATTATATCAACCCTTAACGTGAAAGTTAACACTTAATTTTATTTTCTTTTCTCCACCAAAACGCCGTAGTCATCCGAGGTCGTGTGGATTTTTGTTTGACAGATTGATTGCCCCTCAATAACGTTGCAATCAATCTTCATTGTTCCAGTCAGTCTTCACAATACAGAAAACAAGAGTCCTCACAATACCAACGAAACATAGATCGCAAACCTGACAGAATTTTCTGCATCACATTAAACTCCATCAGCATAAATTTCCTCTAGTTTCTTCACTCTTATCTACGGTGCATCAAACTTTGCCAATTCGTTTATCACCTTCGCCGCCGAAAGTGATATACCGTCGCGACATTGAAACCGAACCTTGCCAGGGGGGCAAACTCCCGGATGCACGGCATTAATTCATCCACGAACGAGAAAAATGGTCCCGCGTGCGAGCGCTAACCCAAAAACGGCTACAAACTTCCCCCTTGGGCCACTGGGAAACGTTTGCAGAAACAAGAAAAATCAATTTGAGGATTCAATTAAAACTTTTTCCCTCACCTAGCTCGGCTCGGGATGACGTCGACGGTTGGTGGAGAGTGCAATGGCATTTCGCGTTCTCGGAATTAAACTTGGTTATTTAATGCAGCCCGCATTATTTGTTATTCTACTTTCACCTTTCGCTATTGAATGCTTGAACAATTTAACCCTTGGCTGACCAGTGGATCCAATTAAAAAGTTAACTGTTTCCTTTTTTTTATTTATTTTATCCTGTCACTTGCAGGTCTTCTACCCCCGTTGAAAATTCCCAAGAAGTTCAAGCAATGGAACGGTGCCTCCATTCTCAATCTCAGCCAGTTGACGAGTCTGCCGTCTCGCAGGAGGAACGTGGGATCGATTGCTTCAGTAACTAATCGCTCGCCTGGCGTCGTCGGGGCGGCGTCGATTCCCAACGGGACGAAAGGTCACGCAAGGAAGCGGTCGGACATCTCGATCATATCGGCGTCGGTGCCGAGCAATGGAGGAAACGGGAACTTCGGGCTGTACGCCCTGAAGTGTGACCGGAATGCAGCGAAGCGTGGCATATTGCTGAATCTGCCGCGGAAGATGGCGGCCGTGGTTGGTGGCGAGACGAACGGGTGCTACCAGTCGGAGGAGATGGTTCATGAGAAGTTTTCACCGTGCAAGAAGACGATGGAACCACCGCCAAGGAGGAAGAAGCTGAGGAAGCGACAGGAGCAGCAGCAGCAAATCGTGGTGAACCCGATGAGGACGGGGGGCAGGGAGATGTACTGTGGTGATTTACTGCTGGAGCGGAACCGTAGCGAGCTGTTCCGGATTGCCGAGCGGGGATCGAACGAGCATCTGAATAGAAGGGACGGAGAGCACCTGGCTCCACCGGCTGGGGCACTGAGTGGTGGTCGAAAGTCACGGTCAGTGGATAATATTCTAGCATTGAAGAAGTACTACCCAGAGGAAGGTGCGGAGAGTGATAGCGATGCGGAGCAGGTGCGGTCATTGAAGGTTGGGAAGATGAGGGAATGGAAGGGATCGAGGAGTCTGAAGTACAGTGAAAGTATGGAAAGTGACTCAGAAGAGGTTGGAAAGGTTAAGAGGAATGTGAAGGGTCGGTTGAAGAAAGCCAGTGACTTTTCAATTGAGAACAATTCCGATGAGATTGAGGTAAGGTTCAGGAGGAATGAGAGTACCGAGAGTGAGGAAACATCGAAGCCGGTACCAATGCCGCTGCCCACTCGGGTGGTAGTTCTGAGACAGGAAGTTAAGCCGGAGGTCAAACCAAAAATGGCAAAGCCCAAGATGCCGGACAAGCCTCCACCGAAGAAGGTGGAGCAGTTTGTAAGCTCGCAGGATTTTGAGGAGAATTTCAAACCTTTGGCTTCGGTGCTTCTGGAGTCGATTAAGAGTGCCGAATTGAAGCGCAAATGGATCAACGACTTTCTGTTGGAAAGTGACGATGAACCCGTTAAGCCGAAACAAGCGGTGGTCGGCATGAAAAGCTTACCATCGAACGATTCGTTGTCGAAGAAGTTCGAACTGGTTGACAAGTTTGACAGACAGCTGGAAGCGCTGGAAACGGGAAGGAAGTTGACAACCAAAGAATCTGAGGATAGCGTCAATATTTTCAAGAAAACCAATGCAGATTTTGACGAATTCGATAAACTGTTCAACGGGGACAAATCGCCGACGGATGATCAGCTGCGGTCGCTCGGTAGTGTCAAGAAGAGCGTTACCGTCAGCGAGCGGATAACCTACATCAACCAACACAAGACCCATCTATGCTTCTCGTCATCCTCGGTGGATTCGGATGTGAAGGCCGCACCGGTTCCACCGCCACTTCCTCCACCTGTGGCTAGCCGGATGAAGAACGGTACCCTACCGAAGAGTACGGTCAACATTCAGGACTACTACGACAAGAAGTTGCAGCGCGTCCGGAACGTCTCGTCGCCATCGCTGTCGCGATGCTTCGACGAAGATTCGTCCACCGAATGGACCGAACCGGTCAACAATAATATAGTGCTTCCTTTAAGTATAATCAACCGTACTATTGTAGATAACTGTATTACTACTGAGCAAGTGCCAACAAGTGCGACAGCAGCAGTAACCGTTAACGAACCGAATCAAAACATCTACCCAGAAACCTATAACCAAGCTAGTAACGACCATATCTCGTGTAATCTCAACAATATCGACGACCCTAGTTATGTCGGTCTTAATCAAGCTACCAATAGTAGTTCTACCAGTCATAGCCATAATGTTTTTATCGTGGGTGAAACCTTCAAACGGAACGAGAGCTCGGAAGTTATCCGAAGCCGGAAGCCGACGACGGTCAAGCGTTACATCAACTACAAATTTGACGATTACTGTCAGCTCGGTAATGGGAAGGGAACGAAGGCTCCGCCGAGAGTATTCAACATCAACGACTTCCACGACGAGTGCTACAACGAGGAAGGCGTTGTCATCATCTGAAGGCAGCCGCGAATTGTCTGTGTGTAGATAATAATAATACTGGTGTATAGAGGAGCGAACACGTTTTAATAAATATATCACTTATTGAACCGAGCTGGTGAGGTTTGTTTCCTTGATCAAAAGAAATCCTTCACGTCTTGAATTTTGCAATCTGCTGTCAGGGTTTCTACTTCTGCTAACTTTCCCTCGTGTATGATGAAGGAAGGCAAGTTTGATCGTTAATCATTCCCCGTAGAGAGAAAACCCCGAAAACACGTCCTAGTTGTTCAAGTCAACCGAATAAGGTAAGTAGACAGTCGCAAAGAAGAAAACCCAACAGTCGGATATATTCATTGTGTAGCTGAGGGTGGGTGACGGGATTTGCTGCCCTGCTTGGCGACTATGAAAAAGAAAATATGGGTCGGAAAAGTTTTCGCTCAAATATACTCTCTTGTACTTAATGGTGTTTGTTAGCTCGGGAACAACTATAACGTGCGTGTGTGCTTGGGTGAGTGTGAAAAGTGCTAATTATACTTATAGCTGACGACTGACGGATAGACCGGTGGCACGGAGATGGATGAAGTTTTGGCTTGAAGGAAGTTTTGTTTTCTCGTTTGGGATTTCACGGTGGCTTTGGTACAGAAGATGAGGACGTAGAGGACGGGGTCGGCGTAGTCGGTAACATTCATACCTCTCACGCCAAAGTAACGAGTTCAAAAATCATCCCCATTGGGTCACGAATGACCCTAGGGTGTTAAAGTGACTATAATATTACAAAAGAAGATGAGGATTTTTTTTTGTCAGGGGAACAACTCATGACGGAAGAATCCAAGTTTTTCACAATAAGGGCTATAAAGTATGAATCATATTCCTATGAATCATATGGTTTCTTAAACAAGCTTTAACGTGCCCCAACTGAAATGTTGGTGAGTAACCCGCAACAAATTGGAATTTAACTATTCAAGTTAATTTTGGCGTTTAATACCAATTGGGCAGTTCTTAGCCTTTGGTCCTTTTGATATGTTATTTGGTGGGTTTTCAGCAGGCATATCATGGTGGTTACTAGAAAGGATGTAATAAAGGATTTCCGGGAATTAAAATTTCGATCATCTGAACACCCCTCAAATCGCGATTAGAGCCATATTAACGGAGATGGATCGATTTAAAGGTTTGGATTATCCACCAGCCGACCAATAAATGATAATGTAATATTTTATACTGGGATTTCCACAAAAAAAAAAATTCGATCATCTGAACACACCCCAAATCGCGAGTAGAGCTATATTAACGGAGATATATCGATTTAAAGGTTTGGATTACCCACCAGCCGACCAATAAATGATAATGTAATATTTTATACTGGGATTTCCACAAAAAAAAAAAATTCGATCATCTGAACACACCCCAAATCGCGAGTAGAGCTATATTAACGGAGATATATCGATTTAAAGGTTTGGATTACCCACCAGCCGATCAATAAAGGATTTTGCAATATTTTATACTGGGATTTCCAGGAATTAAAATTTCGATCATCTGAACACCCCCCAAATCGCGATTAGAGCCATATTAACGGAGATATATCGATTTAAAGGTTTGGATTACCCACCAGCCGACCGATAAATGATTTTGCAATATTTTATACTGTGATTTCCAGGAATGAAAATGTTGATCATCTGAACACCCCCCAAATCGCAATTTGAGCCATATTGACGGAGATATATCGATTTAAAGGTTTGGAATATCCACCAGCCGATCAATAAAGGATTTTGCAATATTTTATACTGGGATTTCCAGGAATTAAAATTTCGATCATCTGAACACCCCCCAAATCGCGATTAGAGCCATATTAACGGAGATATATCGATTTAAAGGTTTGGATAACCCACCAGCCGATTTATGAAGGATTATGTGATATTTATACTGTGATTTCCAGGAATGAAAATGTTGATCATCTGAACACCCCCCAAATCGCGATTTGAGCCATATTAACGGAGATATATCGATTTAAAGGTTTGGATTATCCACCAGCCGATCAATAAAGGATTTTGCAATATTTTATACTGGGATTTCCAGGAATTAAAATTTCGATCATCTGAACACCCCCCAAATCGCGATTAGAGCCATATTAACGGAGATATATCGATTTAAAGGTTTGGATAACCCACCAGCCGATTTATGAAGGATTATGTGATATTTATACTGTGATTTCCAGGAATGAAAATGTTGATCATCTGAACACCCCCCAAATCGCGATTAGAGCCATATTAACGGAGATATATCGATTTAAAGGTTTGGATTATCCACCAGCCGACCAATAAAGGATTTTGCAATATTTTATACTGGGATTTCCGGAAATGAAAATTTCGATCATCTGAACACCCCCCAAATCGCGATTAGAGCCATATTAACGGAGATATATCGATTTAAAGGTTTGGATTATCCACCAGCCGAACAATAAATGATTTTGCAATATTTTATACTGGGATTTCCAGGAATTAAAATTTCGATCATCTGAACACCCCCCAAATCGCGATTAGAGCCATATTAACGGAGATATATCGATTTAAAGGTTTGGATTATCCACCAGCCGACCAATAAATGATTTTGCAATATTTTATACTGGGATTTCCGGAAATGAAAATTTCGATCATCTGAACACCCCCCAAATCGCGATTAGAGCCATATTAACGGAGATATATCGATTTAAAGGTTTGGATTATCCACCAGCCGAACAATAAATGATTTTGCAATATTTTATACTGGGATTTCCAGGAATTAAAATTTCGATCATCTAAACACCCCCCAAATCGCGATTAGAGCCATATTAACGGAGATATATCGATTTAAAGGTTTGGATTATCCACCAGCCGACCAATAAATGATTTTGCAATATTTTATACTGGGATTTCCGGAAATGAAAATTTCGATCATCTGAACACCCCCCAAATCGCGATTAGAGCCATATTAACGGAGATATATCGATTTAAAGGTTTGGATTATCCACCAGCCGACCAATAAAGGATTTTGCAATATTTTATACTGGGATTTCCGGAAATGAAAATTTCGATCATCTGAACACCCCCCAAATCGCGATTAGAGCCATATTAACGGAGATATATCGATTTAAAGGTTTGGATTATCCACCAGCCGAACAATAAATGATTTTGCAATATTTTATACTGGGATTTCCAGGAATTAAAATTTCGATCATCTGAACACCCCCCAAATCGCGATTAGAGCCATATTAACGGAGATATATCGATTTAAAGGTTTGGATTATCCACCAGCCGACCAATAAAGGATTTTGCAATATTTTATACTGGGATTTCCGGAAATGAAAAATTTCGATCATCTGAACACCCCCCAAATCGCGATTAGAGCCATATTAACGGAGATATATCGATTTAAAGGTTTGGATTATCCACCAGCCGAACAATAAATGATTTTGCAATATTTTATACTGGGATTTCCAGGAATTAAAATTTCGATCATCTGAACACCCCCCAAATCGCGATTAGAGCCATATTAACGGAGATATATCGATTTAAAGGTTTGGATTATCCACCAGCTGACCAATAAATGATTTTGCAATATTTTATACTGGGATTTCCAGGAATTAAAATTTCGATCATCTGAACACCCCCCAAATCGCGATTAGAGCCATATTAACGGAGATATATCGATTTAAAGGTTTGGATTATCCACCAGCCGACCAATAAAGGATTTTGCAATATTTTATACTGGGATTTCCGGAAATGAAAATTTCGATCATCTGAACACCCCCCAAATCGCGATTAGAGCCATATTAACGGAGATATATCGATTTAAAGGTTTGGATTATCCACCAGCCGACCAATAAAGGATTTTGCAATATTTTATACTGGGATTTCCGGAAATGAAAATTTCGATCATCTGAACACCCCCCAAATCGCGATTAGAGCCATATTAACGGAGATATATCGATTTAAAGGTTTGGATTATCCACCAGCCGAACAATAAATGATTTTGCAATATTTTATACTGGGATTTCCAGGAATTAAAATTTCGATCATCTGAACACCCCCCAAATCGCGATTAGAGCCATATTAACGGAGATATATCGATTTAAAGGTTTGGATTACCCACCAGCCGACCAATAAATGATTTTGCAATATTTTATACTGGGATTTCCGGAAATGAAAATTTCGATCATCTGAACACCCCCCAAATCGCGATTAGAGCCATATTAACGGAGATATATCGATTTAAAGGTTTGGATTATCCACCAGCCGACCAATAAAGGATTTTGCAATATTTTATACTGGGATTTCCGGAAATGAAAATTTCGATCATCTGAACACCCCCCAAATCGCGATTAGAGCCATATTAACGGAGATATATCGATTTAAAGGTTTGGATTATCCACCAGCCGACCAATAAAGGATTTTGCAATATTTTATACTGGGATTTCCGGAAATGAAAATTTCGATCATCTGAACACCCCCCAAATCGCGATTAGAGCCATATTAACGGAGATATATCGATTTAAAGGTTTGGATTATCCACCAGCCGAACAATAAATGATTTTGCAATATTTTATACTGGGATTTCCAGGAATTAAAATTTCGATCATCTGAACACCCCCCAAATCGCGATTAGAGCCATATTAACGGAGATATATCGATTTAAAGGTTTGGATTATCCACCAGCCGACCAATAAATGATTTTGCAATATTTTATACTGGGATTTCCGGAAATGAAAATTTCGATCATCTGAACACCCCCCAAATCGCGATTAGAGCCATATTAACGGAGATATATCGATTTAAAGGTTTGGATTATCCACCAGCCGACCAATAAATGATTTTGCATTATTTTATACTGGGGTCTCCAGGAATTAAAATTTCGATCATCTGAACACCCCCCAAATCGCGATTAGAGCCGTATTAACGGAGATATATCGATTTAAAGGTTTGGATTACCCACCAGCCGACCAATAAATGATTTTGCATTATTTTATACTGGGGTCTCCAGGAATTAAAATTTCGATCATCTGAACACCCCCCAAATCGCGATTAGAGCCATATTAACGGAGATATATCGATTTAAAGGTTTGGATTATCCAC